AAATGACGAAAAATTAGGTGTCTATTTACTTGTGACCACTCAGTGTATATGTACTAAAGGAGGAGAATGCTCTTCCTACTGCAGACCTAATGTACAATTCCAGATGCTGCCAGATGTTGGTTGAGATCAAACTCCCATTTACAGTCTGTTGTGCCCTAGCCACTCTACACTAGGGGTCCCATTATTTCTGTAATTTTTTCGTTGTGTCCCTCCATGATTCTGCCCTTTTTGGTAACACATTATTAAATGGTAAAATGTATACCTGGCTCAGAAGTGGTGTGGTCTTCCACAGATGTGTTGTTTTTAATTTTCTTTGGGTGATTCTTAAAGGGGGATCGTCTTCTCACCATTCATCTACCGGTTCAATGTGGGACTCTAGTTTTTTGTGCAAGGAGGTAAGATATTGTATCAGAAGTTAACATTTTCTAAGCTGAAAATGTATTTCCAATAGTTCCTTGCCTCTGCTTGCATTTCTCACCCATCCTCCCCACTTCCAGTGTGGTTTGGTTTGATGTGATTAATCTCGAAGTGATTACCAGCTGCAAGGTGCTAGAGAAGGTGCTAGTTATGATATGGGTAGTGTTGCACTCCTGTTGGTGAAGGGTTGCTGCATAATCATTTACATGTTAGTACACAGAAGTAAGTGGGAGTAGCAAGGCTAGTGGCAAGCAAAGATTTGCCCCAATAGAGGGCAGTACAAGTTCAGAAAGTTTCTCTGAGGGGAGGTAAGTATCTATTGGAAATAAATTTTCAGTTTAGGAAAATGTTAACTTTCCATATTTCCTCTTTTATGTGTCTCATTTGAACTGTGACATATACTGTTAAATTGATATATATTTTACAAGGTGATTATTGTAGTGCTATTACAACTATTTGCTGACTGGTCATCTTGACTCCTCAAAAATGATCTTAGATTGGAAGAAGTGGCTTTAACTAGTTATGCATTTTAATATTAAGATTTATACAATCATGTGTTCTATGCTGGATGTCCAGACTTTCTATTTAAATCAAAGCATACATGATTGCAACTACCAAGTCTTACAATCACAATCTTTATTATTATTTTAGGCCTTTTGTTGTGTTTCTATGACAGCTTATTTTATATATATATATACAATATTGAAAGTAATTATGGAAACAATGAATAAATTGGAAATTTTATTGGATTACTTTTCCTCTATTGTATGAAAATGAAATACATCAGAGTACAGTCACATGTTGATATTATACACTGTGATTGACTCTCATTCAACCAATTAGACTTTCACACCAGCATAATGCTTATACAAGTACAGGAATTCATACTGTTCCCAGCACTAGAGTAGTGAATACATTCATGACTTCCTAGACAAAAATATCACATGACAAACATGTAGAAGTCGAAGTTTGTCTTGTAAATTCTATTCTATGCAAAAGATTGAGGCAGAAATTTCATATGCCCTCTTCAGAGTTTCTATATGCTCTTTATAAATAATGTTTAGTACCTTAGAGCATGCTCTTTACATGATAAACAACAATCCAGTAGAGATATAACCAATGGCCTAGCTGTAAGGACACATTTGAATATTACCTCTAGAACAGTAACATAAATATTAGCACAAAGTGGCCTCAGTGGACATGCAGCCGCTCAAACTCCACTGCTTAGTTAGAGATATCCAAAGCAAAAGACAATAATGGCCATTAGACTAAATATTGATATGAGTACACTGGAGGAGGGTGCTCTTTACAGTAGAATCCACATTCAAAATGTTTGGTAAAGCTTGATTAATATACATCATCTAAAGTAAATCATGCTGAGGAATCAGTACATGTGTGGGCTACAGCTCAAACAAAAGTCCTAACTGCTGCTGACAGAAATAAGTAGATTCTTATCCATCATGTCATTTCTTCAAGAACGAGACATGGCAGGGATTCATTTTCCAGCAAGACAGTGATCCTAAGCATTCAATGAATGTGGTGAAACAATATCTAAAGGATAAACAGGCTTCAAGAACAAAATATGGTACATAACAAGCATGTAGAAATCAAAGTTTTGGTTAAGGAAGACTAATGTAAGCAACAGATTGAAGCAATATTTCATGTTTTTGTAGGAGGTGTCCCAATTTGAATATTATGAAGGCTGTGTGGGATTATATGGAAAAACAGAATGTGAAATTGCAACCAAACAACTTGGCTGGCTTATGAGGAGTAATACATGACACTTCAAACTATTTTACAATTATACATTGACAAATTATGTTTAGAGCAAATTCACTTATAGATGATTTTCTGTAATAACACATCAGTTGGTCATTGTTCACACTCCTGTATGTGTACCACCCTTTGTATTTTCAATACTATATTGTTTGTTTGTTATTTTCTGAAATATCAGTAGATATATAGAATTTCGTACTCGACATAATGTTGAATCCTACTGCATAGCTTACAAAGGGTTTGCTTTTAGCCTCACTAGTAATGTGTATTTACAACTCAGGTTTATAACTGCTTTACTGTATTCAGTCCAACACAAGTGATTTATGCAATCGGATTTTGAAATTTTAATAACTGGCATATGTAAAAAAATAAAAGTTTTCCATTACCATATTTGTTACAACAGTGCTTTAATCTCAAAAACAGAACTGTGTTTTTTTTGAAATACAACTAGATGTAAGTTCTTTTTTTTTTTAAGCATTTGTAATTTTGGCTTGTATATAGATTGAAAGGGTGGTTTGTTGAAAAGACAGGATTTAAACTAAGAATTCTTTCTTCCTGTACCACGGATGCCCTTATTTTTAAACTAGTTGATTACATTAACAGTGTAACATTTTGGTTTAGTCACCTCTAAACAATTATAATTGAGTTATACCTTTAGAATTTTATCATCCTACATTGTTTTCCAAGTACATTGTGGAATATTTTAATTGATAATAAAATGTAAAAGAAACTTTTCTTACTGATTTTGTTTCAAATAGGTTAAAAAATAATATATTGGGAGTGTTGTCAGTAGCATATTTATTACGTACATTTTCTGTTTGAAATTTATTAATTTTTTTTTCATTTTAAATTGTAGAGTTCCAGAATCAGTTCTGAGCCCAGCTGAGTAAGTAAAAATACTATGGACTTAGTAGATCTGATGTGTATTATTAAAAAATATCTTGTCAAATTAAAATATTAAATAGATAAATTTTCTTATTATTTTTAAAAAGTGTCTTGATATAAACTTGCTGCCAGCAGTTCACAAAAATTACAAAACTTAATTCCAATATTTTTTTTACGTTTTGCTAAATTAGTCTTAAAATGTGCATATTTAGTAATACATAAATGTTATGTTAATTTTCCTTTTGATTTGTTTACATTTCCTAATGAATGTTTCAGTCTACTATAGTTATTTTTAACTATTAGATTTCATACTTTAACACATTTTCCAACAATGTTAAGACATCATAGTGAGATTGGTTTCAGTGCTGTAGCAACTGTTAAAAAGCAGCTTTTAGTTGCTACACCACTATGTGAATGTGGAACTAAGTAATAAGCTCAAATCTTTCTTTTTTCAACATGGTGGCTTGGCACATTCAAGAGATAGAAGTTTTATGCAGTTTGTTTGGAATGACAGTTTCAAAAGTACAAAAATATGATAATCCAAATTTATTGAAAGATTATTTATTGCTGTTCTCCAAAATTTGTAAAAACAAAATATAAAATGTTTTCAATAAACAAAATTATTATATCCTTTTCCACTTTCTTGCCTGTTTATAAGTTCTAGTGTCTTGAATGTTACTGAAATTGTAAAGGAATTTTCTGTGTTATAAGTGATTAAGTAGCTAAAAGTGCTCAATTGGTAGTTTATTGCTCAAAGTTGGAGAATATAAAGTGCTTTGGTAACCACAGTGCCTCTTAACCTACCTTTAGTGCAGCATTGTATGCTACTTCTATATCTGTCTTGAGATTAACTTTTGACTAGTTTATACTAACTTTTACAGAAAGCAATAAACACTAATAATTTCCACTTTATAAATATGAAGTTACAGTGCTTGAGTAGAGTTTTAAGACATTCTAAACCGCAGTAAAACCTACTACATTTTATAATTAGGAGAAATACAATAAACCATCAAAGCTGTTTGTCATTGGCAAGGTAGGAAACATTTTTCATTTAACTTTTAGGCTTCAGTTTATAGAAAAAAATCTCAGAACTAATTTTGTTTTTAAGCATATCCTGTACAACTTAATTTTATTGATGCTTCATAAAGTACTACAATCATCAATAATAAAGCCTTTGTAGCAATATGTTTTCTATGTAAAAAGAAGTTAATACTTCATAGAATTAGTCAGTTTAAGCTATTTTTTTAATTATTTCAGACAACAGAGGATATATGAATGGCAAGAAATGAACACACCAATGGCTGATACAGCATCGTTTAGAAGTTACCCTATTTTACACTAAATGAGGTTTCACTGAAAACACCTGTTGTCTTTTATAAGTTTCTTGACTGGTTCCTGAAATTTATGTGAACCTGCTATTAAATAATATTTTCATATGTATTTCTTGATCCCATTATAATTATTTTCAAATGTAAATAACCTCTAAAGTATAATAGCTTTATATAAGGGATTATACATGTGTAACTGAGATTTTAAAAATAAAGACTATACTTACAAGGAACAAACATCTTGCTTTGTGTGAATATTTCTGTTTCGTGATACACAACTGTTACAGTATGTAATGATAAACAAAATATTTTAAGATTCAAAAAATTCATACAGAACCATTCTGAAATCTTACTTAATTTTTTCAGAATATTAAAATTGATTTTAATTGGTATATTTTGCTAGGCAAAAGTTTGCTTTGATATTGAAACTTTTTTTTTTAAATAAATGTACTGGAGTACCTCACAGATAAATAAAACTATGTTCCTTAATTGTTGTTCATCATTTCAAAATACTAAATGGTGATAAAGTTATGTATGTAGAAAAAGTGAAAGTTAAAAGACTAAAATAATGGCTAAAAAAAAGTCTCAATTCTTCTTGTTCTGTTGATTGAAATTTCATTCTTAAATACAGGAGTTCCTTGTCAATTCAGTTTAGGGTTTGTTTGTTTAATTATTGCAGTGATTATTATATTAAAGGAATACAAAAATTTCTTTGTTAAACAACATAATATGTATTAAAAAAACTTTTCTTAACTCTTGATATTTGACTTGTCTTTCAAACAATGACTGTATTACCAAACTATTTACTTCATTAAGATTTACAGTGATCTGTAAATAAGTCACATAATGACTAAGTATATTCCAACTGCAAACATCAGTTTTTAACATTGTTGAAAAACTCAAATGAATTCTTTAGACACTTTTGAGATGTGTTCTCCTTATAGCCAAGTGGTTAGAGTGCCCGTATCCGGAATCACAGGTTCGGGGGTTCAAATTCTGGTAATTCCACAAAAAGCCTTCTGGTTGTGATGCATACAAAAGAATGTCTGATATAACACCTGATGATGGCCAGAGAATTCACTAATCAAAACGTTGTGAAAATAATAATACACATAATAAAGACAAGAATAATAGACTGAATAATTATACCATTTGTAAGCCCATCTGTTACTCTCTGAAGTTTTTGACTGCATATTTTTATTTTGTGGTATAATTTACTTATTGCTAATCTTTTTCTTGTGAGTCATATATATCTGATTGTATTTCTTTCAAAGTCTATTGAAGACTAATTTCACTTTACAATAATAATGTTTCAGGTCCCAATTGGGTCAGTTGTGACTTAATGGTTGACTGTGGAGCTGAAGGTCCATGGTTCTTGACCTGTTGTCACAAAATCTTGCTGTACACTTTGGGGTAATCGGTGCATTATAAGTTATTTAAAATTACTTCCTTGCTGTACCTTTGTTTTGTTGCTTCCTACCTTGAACCTTGGTCCAATTTATAAGTTGTCACTAGAAATTACAGCTACAGTTACATTGACACCAGTATATTCTAATTGGCCCCCCAATGGCACAGTGGTATGTCTGCGGACTTATAACGCTAGAAACCGGGTTTTCGATACCCGTGGTGGGCAGAGCACAGATAGCTCATTGTGTAGTTTTGTGCTTAATTTCAAAACAAACATATTCTAATTATATTTGGTATATTTTTGAATACGGACTTCAACTAGTTTGGCTGTCTCAGCTCTGTTATCGGCAGTAATCATGATTTTAAATAAGCTCTTATGGGAACTTAACTTGAATTAACTATTAACCAACAGAGTAAAAGAATGGGCTGAACCCTCCACACACACAAATCCCTGATAAGTGAGAATAAAAAAACAAGGGTTACAAAATTGGAAAATGGTGAGTCAGCATTTTCTTATTAAACAGGTTTCTCTTCCTGTCATAGTTCAAGATGGATAGCATCTAAATTATTTATAAACTAGTAAAAGTTGCAGCATTATCTGTATGTTTATTTTCAAAAGGATACTAAAAATGTGCTGTTGACTTCTTCTTAGGATTCTAAAGTAAACTGTTCTGGATTGTTTATTTTATGACTTAGCTTTTCTGGGAGGCACTCTAACAAAATGTAACACTTAGATTATCAGCCCTTGATTTTTTGTTATGATGTTAATAGCCTGTAGAATCAAACAGCAGAAGATATGTAGGAATTTGTCACACATGACAAAAATTATAGTATATACCTCTGAAGCTAGGAACCTTTTAGGTTAGTCTTGCAATTCTGGAATATAGCACAATCCATTCAATGACTCTCTGATTTTTCAAGTTCTTTGGGATAGAATATCAGAAGTTATGATTTTGGCATGTAGTCAGGGGCCCTACTCAGATGGCTTCATGACCTCTCTTCCCTTCTTTTATAGAGACTATTTGTAAAAATCTTCATTATGATCAGCATCACTCTAACTAATTTGTTTTTGATGACCAAAATTCAAAGTTTCAACTATACTAATTTTACCCTTGAATGTTATTTTCCCATCTACCAGTAATTTAATTGGTTCTGAATATTTAACACAAACATGTCTTGATAAATTCAGAAAGAAAAATCTACATTTAAGTCATGAATTCCAGAGACTGTATATAAAAAAAAAAAGCTGTGCAATTATATCTATAAACAAAACAGTACGTTTTAGGTCTGTATCCATAAAAGTTCTACATTTATTCCTAACTAGCTAATTGCTGAATGAGATTTATGTTACATTACTACTTTATTATTATTTCAAAGCTGGACGTAGCCACATTAAATTTGCCTAATCAGTTGTAGAAAATTGGGTAATGTGGGGATATCATGGGTTTTCTATCTTCTATAGTGATATAGAAATGTTCAAAATTTTTGATTTTTAGTTTGCTAGCATGGCTTCATTCTAGTTCATTCTTTTCTCTCTTTATCTAGGTAATGTCTCTACTGCTTGCAAGGATATTTCAGCATTAGATAAAACATACAAATTAAAGACTTAGAACTGGAATATCCTTTGCTTGCTGATTATGATGTTGAATGAAAGTGACAGCTGACCATTACTGTCAGGGAACAAAGGTATGAGGTTGATGCTGTCTACTTGATAAAGAAAGTGAGTTGATATTCTAGATTCTAGTGTACTTTCTTAGTTCAATTTTCCATTAGTCAACCTATGGGAAGACCTGCTTTATTTTTGGAGGATCACTGTTTTAGTTTTGGAATATTCAATCCTGAGAGAGAGGAGGCAACAAGGCTAAACACCAACTAAGAATGAAAGAACTGTCTGCTTGTTGGTAGTTGTTATGTGCACTGCTTTTCTTTTTATTGTCTTAGTAAAGATTCAGCTTGCTTGTTTCCAATGTGTCCAGCTTCGTTTTTCAGCACACTAAATATAAATATCAGTGTAATTGACTCTCTCATAAAAAAACCTTTGTAAATTTCCTGGGCAAACCCTGTTGTTATTGTGGAATGATTTATCTCACACTTCTTGGGAAATCCGTCCCATCTGTGAATGCCACAGTATGATTTCTGACATTTGGCTATCTCTGTATTTAAGTGCTAGATGTGGCTACAATACAGTTGCTTCACTAGTAGTAGCAAACCGAGTAATGTGACTTCTGACACGTTGCTACTTTCTTATTTTAAAGATGAAACCATATCACATTAGTTTGTCGAGGTGTTTCCAAAATAGCTTAATCACATATTTCCCTAAAAGTTTGGCAGCAAAATTACGAGTTCAAAGCACAAAGCTATGCTGCACCTAATGTAGGTGTGGATTATTTAAGAAAAGTTTGCGCCTGTGATACCACGTTAACGTAGCGAAACGTTGTGTTGCTATGTTTCTTTACAATACTGTTTGCAACTTGTTATGCATACCGCATACCTCTTTTACATACTTTTATTGTTATAGAGGAAAACTGTGCACCAGTTTGACCTTATCAACTGTTAACTAAATTGAAGTAAGCAAATATTTTTGGTTCTGATTTAAGAAAAGAGCAGAGTGATAGTTTTATTACATGGCTGATAAAATAACATTACTGGAATTTTAAATAACTCCTGCCTTGTTTCTTGAGTAGGATGACGTTCCGACTCTATGCTACGGTTTTCTTTAAATAAAGTTACTGTATCTTTAGTCCAGAAGTACTATTACTATCTGCAATCAGGATTAAAGACAGCTATTTTTTTCTCTTATCGTCCAACAGCTTATTCATCAACATAATGTTACATACGTACATGTGTATCTCGGTTAATTTTTAATTCTCAATACAGCCACTTAACAAATGTTCTGTATATTTGAGTATCAAGCCCATCACTATATATATATATATATATACGTCTCTGCGACATTAGCACATAGTTGTATATTTAACACTGGAGCGCGCACTCTTGTCTCAACCAAAGAGAAACGCCGTGCCGATGTGAGGAATCCAAGATAGCGTTCAAAACGAGTAATGAAGCGAGAAACGTGTATAATTACCGGGGGCGCTACAGCATACTTTTCACATACTTGACTTATATATCAACCGTAAATTATATTATTATATCAGTTTTATATATCCTAGACTGAGCTGCCTTTGGCAGCACACAAATTGCTTTTAGCAGCACCTTATACTTTTAATTTCTCATTGTAAAATCTACATATCTAGCCAATCACCCCACTTTGCAACTCACTCATACACCAGTGATTACCGTATATTTCATCGCAAATTATCCCTAAAAGTTTTGATATTGTTGCGTCTCTTCTCTTTGCCTTCTGCTTGACTACTTTCAGTGTTTTATGTGCATCTTGAAGTTTCTTCCGCGAAGCATCAAGTCTGGTTACAAGAGAGGTAGGATTGACGCAGTAGTCATGATCCGGGTGACTTTTCTTCGAGTCGCAAGCAACATGGGGGTCGTTTAGCGTTTTTAGGACGTCATCATTCTTTTGTACCTGTAATCTTTTCTTCGATAAAGGCACCATTTTCGTTTTGTAGTAAAAGGAGGTGGGGATTCGCTCGGTGCGCGAAAAACACAGTGCCCACAGCAAAAGAATGAATAACATATCATTTTTGGGAGGATGTATGTCTGAAATACTAGTAGCAATCAATTTGTAAATGAACCGTTACAATTAAAATGACACAGTCGTAACTGTGAAATCGCTAGCAAATCATCATGACTATACATATGAAGTATGTGATAAACTTAACTCTGACGTAATAATCCATCGTGAGGAAATGCTCTCT